CTCTTTAAGCATCTGTGACTTTGAGTGCTGCGAGAGAGACTGAATCCTGAACAGTAGTCATAGCAGGTAAATAGCTTTTCAGTCCACTTATAATGCACTGTAACCTTTCCCCTTTATACACTTATTTGTTTTACACTAAGTAAGGGAGAAAGACAGCCATTAAAAGTCAGGCAACAGTTGCATGATGCTCCTATTGCACTGATCAGAGATGAGGTACACTTGTCAATATTACACAGACATTTTACATGTAAATGTTTGATCTCTTACAAATGTTTTATTTTTAAAATATTTTTGTTATTCTATATGATATTTTACATCTTTCAGTATTGGAAAGATAAATGTGTAAACAAACTAAAAAATTTTTAAAAAGCCAAACCTTTTAATCTCAGGTTAAGAAGTGGATGTTGAGATTAAAAGAAAATGGTTCTTTCCTAAATGGTCATTATGTAAATAAGTGTCTTCAGATCTGCTTTTTGTGAGCAACCGTGTAAATACTTCCTGCTAATTTTTCATTCTTTTTCAATGTAGAGTGTACTTTCAACTTTTTTGGAAATACTGCAAAAAAACAAAACATGTTTATTTACATGCAAATACATTTCTTTGGTAAGAATATTGTCTTGTCTTTATTTAAAAGCATTCTGCTTCCCAAGAACTGTCTTAACTTCAAAGTATGTAAAGTCAACACTCTTACAAAAAATCATTTTAGAAATCAAAGATTGCTATCGCCTGTCAGTGAAACATTGGTTCTGACAGTACGGGACACATTCTGTCCACTGCTCTGGTGACATGCAGGAGCCAGAACTTGTGCTGCAAGAGGCTAGGGGAGAATGCCCCAGGCACAGGTACACCATAAGGCCACCTCCTTTGTATGCCTGGGTGCAAGGGCTATGCTAAAACCATCTCCACAGTGCATGGCCTAATGTAGATTTTGGGCTGTAACACAGCCCATTGGCAGCCTAATTTATTCTGTGGGCTGCAGCAGACTAGAATCCCAGGGGTGCAGCCATCTTTGCCCCCCTTGTCCACCAGCTGTGCCTTCCGTGCTGCATGTCTTGGGGGTCAGAGCACTGAATCTTAACGTGTAGTTTTTTAGTGCTCTGGTTTAGAATTACAGCCCTCATCTGATTTAATGGTAAAGAGGAACAAATAAAATGGGGAGGAAAATTTGTATTCCCTAATGATTTGTGCCTTTCATGGCTAGCCCTCTTAAGTGAGAACTGATGATCAAATAATATATTCAGTTTACAAGGTTTTTGTCATTTAGCTCTGTTAGTACCCACAACATACTGGGCACCGTATATGCATATACACAGTCCTTGTTCAGAATTGCTAAAATCACTGGACAGGACCAGGAATTCTTGTAACTAATTTGACATTAGTGAAGGGAGAACTAGTGTTAGCTAGCAACTAGTTTAGTTCTAGCAAAATGTTTGGTGGAGACATGCTTCCGCACAGGAAGCTAATCTATTGGATTAATCTGTTCTGTTACACAAAAATTCAATGTAGTCCAATGGTCACCAAGTTTCACTGGCTTGTCGAATATAAATGTTTGCCATGTGTTTATGGATAAGACAGCTACAGAGCAGTAGTTCTGTATCCCTAGTGGTCCTTTAAAGTCCCTTAATTATAGCTTATGTTCACAATTGATGTGCTTCAGCTGTCTTCCATTCAGTTGTCTCCTATAAACCACTGTGGAACTTAGATGGCTCCTCACCCTAGTACAATTTCAAGACTGTGATTGTTGCTGCCTAAGATCCCCCATAAGTTAAAATGTGCACAGTTGAACAGGATACAGAGAGCACTCACTGGCCCAACTGAGGTCTGATGTGAGGAGAAAGATGGTTTTAAGCAGAAGCACAAGACTGGGAGTCGGGATCTGGGTTCTAATTCTAGCTATACCACTGCCTAACTATGTGATCTTGAGCAAGGTCCTTTTCCTCTTTGTACCTCAGTTTCTCCTATCTGTAAATGATGTGGACCTCTCTCACAATGCTCTTGGGAAAGTTAAGTGATGTTTCTAAGGTCCTTTGAGATTCTCTGAAGAAGGGCACTGTAGAAGTACAACGTGTATTAAACGGGTATTTGCCCACAGGGTGTAGTGGAGAATAGAAAAGGCTCCAACAGCCATAATTTACCACCAGGGACCTCTGATCTAGTGTCAGGGTAGTGCTTTTCCTTTTACTCTGGAGTTTTGTAGTAGATTCTGCTCCTGTTGAATCTGTTTTCCTCAGCTGAGGGAATCTGTCTTTCCCTAAGGCGGAGAGTCCTTCTTTCAGACGGGCTTTTGGTCTGAATTCCTCAGCCCGTCTGGGCTTCTAGCTGCAGCTCACGTTCAGCTGAGTCCATCCCTGCTACCTTCCCCAGAGCCACCGCACCTCTTGCGGCTCGGCCTATTTAAATCCCCCCTACCACGCTTGATTCTCCCGCCATCATTCCGAAGCCCCGCCCAGCGGGGAGGTGATTGGCCGCAGCCGGGGCACGGCGGTTCCTACCGGAAATTGCTGCAGTCTCCTCTGGCACCGCTGGGGGGAGCGCTAGCAGCCACAGCTGGGGGTAAACCATCACTGCCAGAGGGGCAGCCCCCCGGGTGCAGGAGGGGCGCAAAGCTCCAGGGGGAAGGGGGCTGCAATCTCCCACTGGGCAGGTTTGGGGCGTGTGATCTCCTTGGGTAGATGAGGGGTGATGGGTGAAGTTTCCCAGGGGGCAGACGCAGCCCTCTGCCCGGGGTGGGGGGCGTTAGGCTCCTGGAGGACCGGTGGCGATCTCCCCCTTGCAGGGCCCTAGGGATAAGGTGAAGGGGATGCAGATTCTGTGGTCAGTCCCCGGGGGGGAGGAGAGCTCCACCAAGAGAGGTAGAAGTGGGGTTAAACCCGAGGAATTGCCATCTCCCCTGGATTTTAGGGGTGTGTGTGTGTGTCTGTCTGTCTGTCGGGGGAGAGGGTGCTGCTGTGCGCCCTGTGTTGAACGGGGAAGGGTGCAGCCTCGCGTTGCGGATCAGATGGCCCTGGGAAGGGGTGCAGTCTCCCCTAGGGTGGGGGGATGCAGGAGCTGGGGAAGGGGCGTAGTCTCTCTGGGGGGGGGGGTGCAGGAGCTTGGGGAGGGGTGCAGTCTCCTGTAAGGGGGGGGATGCAGGGGCTTGGGGAGGGGTGCAGTCTCCTGTAAGGGGGGGATGCAGGGGCTTGGGGAGGGGTGCAGTCTCCTGTAAGGGGGGAGATGCAGGAGCTTGGGAAGGGGTGCAGTCTCCTGTAAGGGGCGGGATGCAGGCGCTTGGGAAGGGGTGCAGGGGCTTGGGGAGGGGTGCAGTCTCCTGTAAGGGGGGGATGCAGGGGCTAGGGGAGGGGTGCAGTCTCCTGTAAGGGGGGGATGCAGGGGCTTGGGGGGGGTGCAGTCTCCTGTAAGGGGCGGGATGCAGGCGCTTGGGAAGGGGTGCAGGGGCTTGGGGAGGGGTGCAGTCTCCTGTAAGGGGGGGGATGCAGGGGCTAGGGGCGGGGTGCAGTCTCCTGTAAGGGGGGGATGCAGGGGCTTGGGGAGGGGTGCAGTCTCCTGTAAGGGGGGGATGCAGGGGCTTGGGGAGGGGTGCAGTCTCCTGTAAGGGGGGGGATGCAGGGGCTTGGGGAGGGGTGCAGTCTCCTGTAAGGGGGGAGATGCAGGGGCTTGGGGAGGGGTGCAGTCTCCTGTAAGGGGGGGATGAAGGGGCTTGGGGAGGGGTGCAGTCTCTCTGGGGGGGGGATGCAGAGTGCTGGAGAGGGAGGGGGTCTGCCCTACGGTAGGGGCGGGGGGGGAGGTGCAGGGCCCCCTAGGGTAGGTGGGGCGGGGGGGGAGGTGTAGGGCCACCGGGGGGGGGGTTACACTCCGCTTGGGGGGAGACAGGGGCCATTTCCTCTGGGGTGCGACCGTTGGCCCTGCCCGGCTGCAGCCCCCTCCGGCGGGTCCGCGCGCGCGCGCGTGCTCCCCGCCGGCCGGGCTCGCGCCGGGGGCTGGCTCCCCCCCCCCGCGCCCGGCGCTGGCCAATGAGCGGCGCTGTTGCTGGCAGGTGCGGAGTGTTTTTGTTTTGGGTTGAAGTTGAGGCCGGAGGAGACGCGGCGGCGGCGGGCGGAGGCCGCGCACCCCTTCCCCCCCCCCCGGCCCCACCACCACCTCCTGCCCCGGCGCGAGGAGAGACCCGGGGGGCGCCGCCCGGAGCCACCGGCCCCGCCATGAGGAGGGAGATGAACGGGGTCACCAAGAGCAGGTTTGAGGTGAGGCCCGGCCCCGGGGGGGCCCCGCTGGGGAGGGGGGCTACGGGCTCCTCGGTCGGGCGGGGACCGGGCCCCCCGCGGAGGGGACCCGGCCTCGCCTCCGTGGGGGGGCGGGGAAGGGGTTGGCGATGGCCGCCCAGCACCCAGAGGCGCAGCTGAAGGGGAGGGGGCCGCCCCACCCCGCTCCGGGGAGCGCGGAGCCGGCGGGGGGGGGGCGGCGGCTCTTCCTGTAGCTGATGGTGATAAAGTGCGGTCGGCGGCGGGGGCGCTTCTCATTGTGCAAAGCAGAAAGGGGAATCCTGTTTTGGTAAAGGGGGGGCAGGCTGGGATGTGGGGTCCCGGGCTTTGGAGGCCCTGCCATCGCAGGGGCTGGGGGGGGGCAGCGTGTAAGCGTCTCCGGGGTGGGGGTGGGTGTATGGGGTCTGGCGGGGCGGCGGGTTGGTCTTGTAATCGGTAAGGAGACTAATACCGTGGAACTTCCTTTTCTCCCCTTGGTGTGTAATATTGTGGGGGGGAGGGGGGCGTGTTTGTTTGCTGCTCGTTGAGTTATTAGATGTGAACTTCCTTTTAGGGACTGCGGTGAGGGGAGAGTCGCTGATGTGTTGCTGACCTATTGTATGTGCCTGTGTTTCTTGCGGAGTTGGTGATGGAGCGAGAGATGTGAAAATACCTTCTTAGAAACAGACCAGCTGTAGATGGCCTGAGAGAGATTTGAGGGGGAGGAGGAAGCTTGGAAAGAGGAAGGAGGTGCAACATTTGCATTGCTTTGTGCTGTCGACATGATATACGGGCAGTTGCAGGCAGAATTTGATTACTCGGGGTGGGGGATGGAGAGGGCGGAAGGAGCACAAGGAGCAGAGGGTAAACAATAAGATCTATTCAGCATATAATCAGTCTGATCTGGGATAACACAAAGCACCCCATCTAGTCAGGGTTGTTTCCAGCACTTCATTGTTGTAACAGCTATCTTTTTCTGAAGGGGGGAGGAGACGATGTTGGTGACAGAGATGAGGGCAACCGCAAGGTTTACTTCTCATTTTATGGAGATTGTATGCAAGGGGAAAATATCTACCAATTCCAATTTTCAACTGTGGGGTTTGTTGCTCCTTTTGCTCTTGAGAAAAGCTTGAATGAAGGGAGAAGAGCAACCTAGAAAGGGACTGAAACAATGTTGGGTATGGCTCGTTCTCAGTGCTGAGGGGGAAGGTAAACACTATCAAACAAAAATCTTACTGACAACTTGAGGGGTGTCTGATAACTGCAATGAAGAAGAACAGCATGTTCATCAAGAAACTGACCAGTGGATTGAGACAGGTATAGAAATTGAATATAATTATGAAAAAAAATTGAAACTTTTCTTTACAAGAGCTGATGTTGGTTTGATGCAGAGACCATTGTGAACAGAAAGCATCCTTGTTTACAGTGATTTCAGTTTATATCATAGTAAAAGTCAAATTTCCTTAACCTGTGTATGATTTAACTTCTGTATGGAGCCTGATGTGTGTGATTAGCCTCTGTGTGAAGCCTTGAGGCTGGTAGGCATTCACAAAGAAAAGGCCAAATGCAAAAAGTCTCAGGACTGTGGTTATTGCTTGTACCATTCTGATCCATTCTTGGTTGCATAGCTGTTTGAAAAGTAAACACACACTAGTAGCAGCCTTCTGTGGGGAATATTTATTTGATGTTGCGGGGACCTTTCATACTTGTCTGTCCTGCCATTGGATGTTCTTATTAATTTTAGTTTTCAGGTTAGCTGCCAATAAGGATGTACCAAAACAAGATTAATGTGAATCATTGCAAAAGTAATGTTTTTTCTGAAAATGTGTACATTCACAAAACTGGAAGCAGGCAGGGAAGAAATGGAAGTGTCGTCTTCTGAGTTTTCTACAGTAGTGAGCCACATTGTTGGCACTTAAATAATTATAGCCTGAAAAAGTGCTATGGTAATAAACTTAGTCTCCAGTATATCCTCAAAAGTAATAGCCAACCTTTCCAGCTTCCTCAAGGAGACTCCACACCCTCCAATTAGTGGGAGTTGTTTCTGGCCATGAAGTCATTCTTTATGAGAGAGATTCTAAACAACTTGGATATCTGCGCCAATAAATGTGTTATCCATAATAACCCTTCATACTAAAGCAGGACAAGTACATCAACTTTATTCTTTTCTTAGCATCCGTTGCCTATCAGTATTTCAGATTCAAAATATCCAAGAGTTTTAATGGCCCACACATCTGTAAGGCCTTGTCTGGAGTCAAACCTGCTATGAAACGATGCAAATGGAAATCAAAACTAAATATTTCAGCTGTTTTAAAATACAGAATGAAATAGTTTGCAACTGTGTCTAGAAATTTCTCTAAGCAAAATCATCTAAATTTAATTTACATTCTGTCATCATCTCAGTTCTTTTGGGGCCACTTTCTCCTCAGTATTCCTTGCTTAAGATCATTCTTTGGTCTTCCAGTGGTGTTTCCCAGTCTGAGCTCTGGTTGGCCTCCTAAAATCCAGAACTAACTTTTTCAGTTGTTGCTTTGGTCACCATTGCGTGGCTCTTATTCAGCCTTTTTGTCATTTTCAGGCCTGTTTTATAAGTCTCCTCCCTCCAGATGAGATGTAGCTAGTGGAAAAAATAACTGAACTGAATATTTCTATAATCTCAGATAGGCCTTGGACACCTCAGGGATATCTTTAGACCCTGAGCATTTCAATCTACTGAAATGCAGTGAAACAAACTAAATTCTGGACAAATTGAACAAGGAATGCCAATAAATATTTGGATTTCACTGTGTGCCCCTCTTGCTCCTCTACCCAGAAAATATAAATGAATGGGTAGCCAGTGGTGTACTTACTATATTGTATGTTGTATTGCATAACAGAAAAAGAAGAGAAACTACTGTTCACATGCCATTGACAGAAAGCTAAACCATAGAGCAGAAGTTAGGAGTCATTAGGTGGTGTTCCTGAGTCACATAACAGCATTTGCTTTTGTCAGATCTCTGCTAATAACATAACACTTATTAAATAGTGATAAGAAATGGTGAGTAAATAGTAAAAACATAAATTTAAACTTTCCTGAATAAGGTTTTTTCCTTAAAGGTCCCATATACTTCTGTTCTTAAGTTTATCCAGAGAATGCAAAAATAGACTTTTTGATGTGCATATACCCCCCCAAAACAAACAAACCCCAAACAAACAAACAAACAAGGACACAGGGACTCAGTTTGTTGGGTGACTCGTATTAAAATCCTTTTAGAGGTGGGTGAAATGTCTGCCTGAAGCTTAGCAGATTTTTTAACCTAGAATGTAAGAATGGCCATACTGGGTCAGACCGAAGGTCCATCCAGCACAGTACCCTGTCTACCGACAGTGGCCAATGCCAGGTGCCCCAGAGGGAGTGAACCTAACAGGTAATGATCAGCGATCTCTCTCCTGCCATCCATCTCCACCCTCTGACAAACAGAGGCTAGGGACACCATTCCTTACCCATCCTGGCTAATAGCCATTAATGGACTTAACCTCCATGAATTTATCCAGTTCTGTTTTATAGTCCTAGCTTTCACAACCTCCTCAGGCAAGGAGTTGCGCTCAGTGAGGAACTTCCTTTTATTTGTTTTAAACCTGCTACCCATTAATTTCATTTGGTGGCCCCTAATTCTTATATTATGGGAACAAGTAAATAACTTTTCCTTATTCACTTTCTCCACACCACTCATGATTTTATATACCTCTGTCATATCCCCCCTTTGTCTCCTCTTTTCCAAGCTGAAAAGTCCTGGCCTCTTTATTCTCTCCTCATGTGGGACCTGTTCCAAACCCCTAATCATTTTAGTTGCTCTTTTTTTGAACCTTTTCTAATGCCAGTATATCTTTTTTGAGTTGAGTTTATGCATAACTCACATGTGGCTCTGTCACTGTAGAGGTACAGTGACCACACTGCATACTCTACCAAAGGGCTGAGTGGAATTTAACCAGATTCAGAAGCAAAAGTCAGTTTAGTTGAGCTGTGGGAGGACTAGGAAGGATTAAACAGGAAGACTTAGCATTGTGTTGGAGGAAATGGGGCAAGAGATGGTAACATGAATCACCCCCTGTTCATCTCCCTTGTGCAGTATTGCCCATGTTTTGCAACTCTGGATGCCATATAGGCAACTTGCCAAGAGCCTGAGAATCTTGCATATTTTGCATGTAAACACAGGATTTTTAGTAAAGTTTCCGCACACCCAAAATATGTTTGAATCTTGCTCGAGAGATTAACTGAAATTGCCTCAGGTTTGAGTTTGCCATAGGTTAAAAACTTGCGTTCTGTCAGCTTTGTCATTATGTTGCTGTTATAGAGGGGACAGTGGCGACATGAAATGCTTCATATCTCCCTCCTGCAATGTGGTAGACTATTGCTCGTCCTTCCAGATACAGAGTATATAATGGCTTTAAAGGTGGTGGGGAGCTGAGAGTTGTACCAAGAAAAAAGGCTTGATTGACCTCAGCCCTCTGGCCCCAGAGTCCATGCTCAGATGTCTCAAACACCTTTTGCTACCAAAGAAAGGTACTAGCAGACTGCTGACAGCTAAAGTGCAGACACTAGCTAATGACCTTTTTGGGGAGCAGTAGCACATAGGACTGTGTGCGCGGTTTCGCAGAATTGTTGCGCATTGCAGCACAGATGTTTCATGATTTTTTTTAAAATAGTTGATGGTGTTCTTATTATTCCAGAATAGATTTTCTACTCTGGAAAAGTTAGAGCACTTTTTATTTTAATTTTTTTTTGGGGGGTAGGGGGAAATGGGGAGAAAGGAACCATATGCTTGAAATTAAAGGCTTTGACTGGATAAAGGTAAAGAGAAGCACAGGCATGTACTGCAAGTGTCACGTGTTACATGATCATTGACCGAACATCTCTTTAGATTCAGCAATGATATCTCCCTGTTGATTGCATATTACTTCTCATGGCTAGGCCCTTTGACACGTACGTAAATGGTCACTTTTCTTGCTTATTACTGAAACAGGCATCCCTTGTATGCTAGGCTCATTTTGTTTCAGACTGTGCATATTCACTTGAGGCCTAAGACATATCAGGTAATTTGTTTTCCTTTCCCCTGCTGGATTACCTTGCTACTTAATTTGTTCAAACTAATTTAGCCCCATTATGTAAGTGATCTTGATGTGTGTTTTTGCCCTATGAATATGGTATGGTGTACTTAAAAGTATGTAGTAATATACTGGGTCATAAATCTGCGTGTGGATGGATCACCCGTGCATGTTTTACCTTAACCTGTTGATCTTTCAATTGGAAGTACACTTTCAAATAGCTGATTCTCTTACGTTTGGCAAACTTGCCCTGTCCCCTTCCCAGCACCCCATGTTAATTATGGGGACCGTATAGCTTGACGACTTGTACTGGTGCATTTGCTAGGAAGTAATAGCAACATCAGCATATCTCAGGTAATGGGGTTTTCGAGAATTTGTGATCCCTCTACTGGTTCTCTGTTAGCAGAGTATAAAATACTAGGCCTTACAGAAACAGATTGTGTATGGTTTTGTCTTTCTCAAAGGGGATCATTGTTTGAATTGTATGTATAATGTAGTATTTACAATTTGTAGACCTACCAAAGTCAAATAACTTTGACAAGTGAAATTTGGCCCCGATAATGCTGGACCATTTCTCTTAGATATGTTTTAATATCTGACTATAAAATTTTTAATGGAAAACCACAATTTTCTTGTAATTGTTTTAAAAAACAAATGGTGAAAGGAATATATATCTTAGCTCAAACACTGTGGTAGTGGATGACCCATAGCATACTTCATGGAGAAAGCCATGTCCCTGTGAAGTCAGTCTGATCAACTGTAAGGGAGAGAATAAAAAGGAAATCTGCTGTGAATACTATCTTTATGGCTATTTCAGTCTGTGTGTAAAAACTCTTAACCCTAGCAGCACCAGCACACCCCCCCACCCACGTAAGTTGAAGCAAGATGTGCAGTAAGCCATCTAATTCTTTACAATGGGGTTAATCCCCTTTCAGGGGCTTGATTTTCTGTTGTTACACAGAGGAGTCAAATGCTTTTAGCACTGTTGTTAACTCTTAGGGTTAGTCTACACTAGAAATGCTACAGTGGTGCAGCTGCAGCGCATCTGGTGAAGATGCTCTCTGCTGACAGGAGAGAGCTTTTCTGTCGTTGTCATAAAACCACCACACCAGCGCTTAGGTTGGAGTAACTTATGTCACTCTTGGGGGTAGCCTATTCCACCCCTGAGCAACATAAATTATACCAACATAATCTGAAGTGTAGAGAAGCCCTTATAAATCTGGCCAAGAAGC